TTATCTAATTCAGAGAAAATAAATATATCCTGATGCCTTACAAGTGTCTGAGGACTTAAACAAGCACAAATTTTCAGCACAGCACTTAAGAACAGTAACAAGTACCATCTAGCATGGAGACTACAGTCAGCGGTAGTGCTCATGCTGTGACAGAGGAGTTCAGAACGACACTCCTGTTTTCAGCGATACCGGGTTGGTGGGATGTCCTTGCCCATACATATTACCTTTCAAGCACCTTCTTGGTGCTTCTTTTAATCTGAAACAGTGGGTTTGTTTTTTTTTTTAATCTAAACAATTCCTTAAAATGAAGAATGAGGAACTGAAAGTAAGCAGCTGAGGCAGTGCTGGAGTGGCTGAGTCACATGCTGTTCTGCTGCAGGAGGCTGTTAAATTTTATCTGCTCTTAAAATTTTGCTAAAGCAAAGTGCTTTTCCAGTTTGCTTAAGAAAAACTTGGTGCTTGCTCCACCATTCCTGGAAGTATTTAAAAGACATGTAGATGAGGTGCTTAGGGACATGGTTTAGTGGGCATGGTGGTGTTGGGTTGATGCTTGGACTCGATGATCTTAGAGGTCTTTTCCAACCTTAATGATTCTATGATTCTATGATTCTTCCACACCAGATGAACTCAGTCACATTGTTTCAGATGTTCTGGACTGCAAAAAGACAAAAATGCTATTATTTATGATTATCTGTGGCTTTCAGTTCCCTATGGGGCAAGAGGAGACTCAGACCAAAATGCTATGCAGTGCGGATGGGGCCAGTTGGAGGAGAGAGTGGTGAAGGTGTGAGCCTCTCTGCACTACTTGGGCTGCAGGTCAGTGACCACTTGCTGGGGCAGATGCCTTTAGCTGTGTAAATAGTCAAAGGTCAAAGATGCCATTTTAGGCCCTGAAAATCAGTGATGATCTGCACTGAATGAGAAGTAGTGATATGAAACCTGCATGGGTTTTCTCTGGGTTGCATGGTGGTAACAGTCTCTTCTTGTCTTTTCAAAACTGCGTGCTTGGATTTGTTGCACAAATTTTCCTTATCATGTTTTCTTTCAGTCTCATGTTTAAATCTTCATTACTACTCTGTTGTCAGGGCTTGCATTCAAGCTTCAGCAATCAACTCAGTTATAACGAAAACAAAACAGTTACATCTAAACCCAGGCATGCCTCTGCAGAATTATGAAGCTTATTCTCTTCTTTCCCCCAGCAGTACTATTTGGAGAACTTCCTTCAGGTATTTCTGTTTGCCATGCTCGTGGGCAAGACACAGGGTACGCAAGGTTTCTGTAGAACTGCATTTTGTATAAAATTGACTCTTTGCAGAAACTGTGCTTCTGTCTTCCCTCTTTATGTTTCTTTTTTAATTTGTATTAACCATTGTTACCAACATAACCTTGAAAACATGAGTTGAATATAAGTAGATACAATACTTCTTAATGTCACTCTGTAATCCACATATGATTTGTAGAGGACTACGGTCCTCCATGATCTCAGTAGATTGTTAACATGAAAAATTAAAGTCACCTCAATTTTAAAAAGTACTTAACTTCTTAGAAGGCAATTAAAATCACATTTGACATGGCAATGCTATTTATTAAAGCACTACTAATTCTTTCAGCAAAGAAATGTGACTATCCAGATCTCCAAATGTCTCCAACTTCATCAAAAGAATTTGCTAGAAAAAATCTTTACAGTATTAATGATTTGTGTGTGTATATATATATATAAAATTAAAAATTCCTTTTTTTTTCAGCAACCAAGTTGTCTGAGAATGCAATTGTAGCAATCACTGAATGCCAAGATCTTGCCAGTAAGTCATGCATAATTCCTTGAAGTGCAGGAGGCTTTGTTTGAATATGTCTGTCGTTGAAGGTAACATAATGTCTTTGCCCTTTGACCAGTGCTGGTGGGATCTCTCAAAAGTCTCCTCATGTTCTGAACTTTGAACTTCATTACACATCTCCTTTTTTCCATGCCCTGACACACAAGCAACATATCACCTTCAAAGATCACTAATCTGTTTGTTTTTTAAGATTTTTTGATGGAAAGCTTAGCAAGTGCTCCCAGAAAGCCTGACCGCAACAATGAATACATGCGCTCCTTCAATTCTTCACACATTGAGGATGTCAGTGGACAAACACAAACTGCAAAGCTGCAACCACCACACACCTGTGACCTTTGTGAAGTCTGTTCACCGGCATGTCACTCAAATTTGGGCCAACGTGAATATTGGTGACAAGGAGAGAGGAAGCTAGTTTGCCATGTATTCTGTATTTTGGAAATGCTTGGCTTCAAAGGATAAGCATCACCCAGCTAAATCTGATCTTAAAAGTTCAATCCATCTATTGCTTTTAGTTCCCCTTGCAGGGGAGGACTGGGAACAAGGGAAGGCCAAGTCTGTTTCAGCACACCTGCATGAGGGGTATATGTTACCTGCTGGCACTAGAAGATACTCATAAGCAGGCTTCAAACTGTTGGACAAAGATAATCAGGTGCTTAGAGGTGCCCAGCTCACGCTGCAGCCTTGCCTTCAACATCGGTGAGGCCACAACTTTGCTGGAGCCACTTGGCTCTGCAAACCCAAGCCCAAACTTAAACACAGTTACTGGAGATAGGAAGGACAGAAGCAGAGGACCTCTCCAGAGCACAGAGCCAGAGCTCCGCTTTTTGGTGCCGGGAAGGCTGTCCTGAAGGGACTGCTAGCTAAAACAAGTTTTGCCCAGCAACCTGGGCTGTACTCAGATGCTCCTGTTCATGAGTGACATGCTTTTCATCACAGATATACCTAGCAAGAAACCTAATAGGGCTCTGGTCAATATCCTTCTGTGGAACAACAGAAAGTTCCCACAGACTTAAAATCCCTTCTTCACCTCGTCCAAATAAATGTTAACAGCTGGCTGGGTGACCTGAACAGCCCCTCTTGTCTAGCAGCCATTTGCATGTAACCCTCACATGATCATTTTTGCTTTACCTTGTGACAAACAAAATACTGTCACAGGATGAATCAGACTTTGGACCTGGATAGGTCGAGGAGAAGGACAATACACTCTACAGTTGATTCCAGGCCAGAGCTGCACTTCTTTTGAATCACTGTCTGTATGTGTCTGTCTGTCTCTGTGCACAGACCTTTATGCCCGGCTGAACCAGCTCACCTTTTAAAGTAAATGACCAAGGCCACTGAGCTTGTACATTAGGTTGATCCTATGCTGACACATGACAGGCCAGTGTTGTCCCTAAATTTGGGACTGAATGGCATGTCAGATGCCAGCGAAACAAATTAAAGCTTTAGTTGAGATCATATGACCCATGTTACAGTTAATCTGGCTTCAAATCAGTTTATGAGGGAACTGAATATTCATGAAGTTTTTTAACTGCACTTCCTAAGAGAAAAGGTACATCAGGGAACCTTTGAAGTTTTGATGTGCTTTTAACAAGTATGACTTTTTGCAATATTTGTAATTGAAAAGCAGTATTTAAGACTGAAAGGAAGTCCTTTGGGCATCTATTCCTCAACTGTGTCATCTTTCCTTGTACCACACCTGTGAGGAGGCCAGAATCATCTCTGTCTTAAGATACAGCGCACCGACAAGAATGAAGAGAGCCGGGGTACTGTGGTGTTCGTCTCAGAGCACCCCACCTCAAAGCAGGGAGAAACCAGTATCCATAACCCAACGAGCAGCCATCGTCAGTGAGCAGGTAAGGCTTCTGCCATACATGTACTGCTCGTACAAGAAAACACGTGCTGCAGTTTTACAGCTCCGATGCCAGGGAGTGTTCCCTCCGTTGTGTACATCAAGGTGGGTAGAGGTCGTATCTAAACAGCATAACTGGGGATCTGCACCAGCATGACCTTTCTTGTAGAGCCGAAGCATGTGCCACAGCAGCTGCACCAACAGAGGCACAGGCCACCACACCTTTCCCCTGACACATGGCACCAGCTATGTCAGACTCGGAGAGAATGAGATGTATTAACCAGAGACCAGCTGTCGGCTAACAAATGTTGCTTTTACACACCCTGACAAGCCAAGAGCGTGTGGAAGGGGAGCAGCTATAATAAATCCTATCATGTCAGCTGAGAGCGGAAAACATGGCAGCATGGAGCAGAAACAACCCGCAGCTTCCACCTCGGCCAGAGTGGGGCCGCGTCAGCCCCCGGGGCAGGCTGACCCCCATGAGGCCAAGCTGAGCTCCAGTCAGCAGGAGCCGCAGCACTGGGCTCACCAGTACGCAGGTGTTAAACGAGGCCGGAGGCACTGCTGATAAGAAATATCCTCGTTGCGCAATGGGCCAAAACAAACTCTCTGGCCCAGTAAACACCGAGCAACAGCAACATTTGGCACGCTGCTACTCAGGGGTGAAATCACGGAACTGCTGATTTGTCATGATTTCTTGCAGCAACCCCACGCGTCCCCTGGCACGGGTGCCAACACCGGGGGGGGGGGGGGCCCCTTCCCCCCCCCCGGGGGGGGGCGCGCC